AAAGGGAATGAAGAAAAAATTACAAAAATAGCAATCATAATGACTATTTGCATACCACTCTACCATTTAGAGTACACCTTCCTATCCATTGTCACAATAACACTGTGAGGAAGATAGAATCAATGTGCTGGTTCCATTTTACAGATGAGAAAACTGAGGTTTAGCAAGAGGCTCAGCTTGTGCAAGGTCATGGATAGAGAGTAAAAGAGATGGGACTGGAAGCTGGACCCTCCAAGCCACCTACAGCCATCTTTCTACCACATTATGCTGCATCTACCATAAAGGAGCCCTGGGGGTGACACTCATGGCCCATTCAGTCCCACATTCACTTCTGACTCTGGGTCCAATGTTCAAGTCAGCCCACCCCAGGACCTTTGAGTTGTCACCTCTGGTTCTGCCCTTCACAGCCCAAAAGTAAATTCCAGCTGGGATTCCTCAGATCTATATTTTCTCTCTCTCCCAGGTGACTCCATGGCCTACCACAATGGCAGATCCTTCTCCACCTTCGACAAGGACACAGACGCAGCCATCACCAACTGTGCCCTGTCCTACAAGGGGGCTTTCTGGTACAGGAACTGTCACCGTGTCAACCTAATGGGGAGATATGGGGACAACAGCCACAGTCAGGTGAGTGGACTGTGAGGGCCTAGAGCAGGCAGGGCTTGGGTGATGAGAGGACAGTTCAGCTCCTCCATCGTGGCTGAGACTGGGAGGCAGGAACCTCAAGCATATGACGACATGTTTTCTTCCAACACAGTGAGAAATCTCAGTGACCCTATAGGTCAGGCAAAATAGAAACAGCAAGTGTTAGCCCTTGAAGGTCCCAAGGAGAACCATTGGTCAAGTGAATTCCAAACATACAAAGCTTTTCTCAGGCAAAATCTGTCTGAAGCCCCAAAATAAAGCAGATACAAGTGGAGGCCACTTAGGTGTAGCAGGGATGGTACAGACCCTGGCAGACAATGGCCCGGAGGCACCTTTCGAACCCTAAGAACACCTTGGAAGAAGTCTGCAGACTTTAAATCCCTTCATTTTATGAAGGGACCAAGGCCCAGAGAAAGGTGCCTTTCCTGAGGTCACAGAGTGGAGCTGGAAGCAGAGCCAGATCTCCCCACTTCCGGTCCCCGGCACTTTTCTGCTCCACACACAACTCTAGCACAACTTCTGCAATCAAAGGACTTTTGAGATCCCCATTGGAAATAGGTGAGCAAAACAAATTCAGTAACCTACCTGGTGCAGAACCCTGCCTGTGCCAGCATGTGCCTGAAACGTGGTCAAGTGAGACTGGCTACTGAATCATGA